ACCAATTTTCAATTAAATTTCACCGTAGGCTCTAAAAATTATGCCAATCACAATGGCGTAATCAATTTAGGGTTCTGTGGCCGATAAGGCCCTCAATTAAATTTCCAAAGCTGATCATTCAAACAGATATTCCTACGGTGAACAGATAGAACTTCAAATCACGTATATTCGCATAATGACACACAAAATCATATCAAAACATATAATCACATCATGTTAAGGACCAATTAACATATTACGGAACAGGGGCATTACAATAACCATCCTAATATGATCCTTTTCAGAAGGCCTTGTGGTCATCATCGAGGTTTTAGCTCTCTATCTTGTCACAAATTCAGAGAAACCCTCCTTCGGCTCTTGGCATGTTGCTTCATTATCACGAGTTATGACCTCAATCTGTGTATTGTAAAAATATTGAGCAAATGAAGGCTTCGGCCATCTCCTCACAATTCTATTTAACAGAATCTTCCAACTTAGCATACCAAGTGGCTGCTATGCCTGACATGGTGCGACCAAAGAGAGACAACTTCTGTAATCTAGTTAAGCCCATTCACCGCAAGATATCTGAAAACAAATGCAAGTGGACCATTGGATCCCCGGAGCCGTCGACTTGATCGATGTGCGACATTTTAAACCGATTTGGTAATGTAACTGCAGAATCAGTATACCTGTTCTCTATGTCTGAAATGGAGTTAACCCCTTGTGCTGTCTTGAATAACTTTTCTAGTTTACTGACCTTGAGGGCAATTGGTCAACCTTAAACTCGAACGGAGCCTCGGTCTGATAAACCAATGCCTCACAGTTCGGAATCCCGCGGTTCTGAATCTAGTCTCACAAGTGCAATGTGAAACCGATAAACACCAAGAGAGTCCAAATCCGACAAACCTTTTTTTTAAAATCAAATAATGCCAAAATGGGACTGCTTTGCTAGATACAGAGTCGCCACCTAAATATTTTATTTTTAGGAAAATTTAGGAACCCTGACTCGTGCCAAAGGTCACGTGCTCGTCATCACCAAAGTTGCCTCGACTCGGGAACTTAGGTACAAGAGGGGAATGTCCTGAAATGAGCACTCCCGCTTGCCCGATCAAACATCGGCCTCTACTAATCATGATATGAAATTTTACAAACATTATGTGTTCTTATTCCAGTTATTAGCTAACATTACTACGTGACGCACACAAGCAAGTATAGACTTAAATTACAAGAATTGGAACAATTCAACTCCTGTTTGTTTTCGAAAATGGTTTGAATTTGCCACCTACGGATTTGTCACCAAACATAGTGGGCTTAAAACATGATTTTGCCACAACAAAGTGGGCTTAAAAACGCACATTTGTTGAATCATTCCAATTCAAGCAACAAGCATTCATCCACAGACATTCATGTAGTTTAGCAAGTACGCACATAACCTCATGGCAATCGCGCTCATATAAGTATGCTAAAGCATAAAAACTTACAGAGTGCTCCGAGCCAAAATAGAAACTAGTTAGAAAGATGCATGCTCATAATTATGCAAGATGTCTAATGCAACACATGCAATATGCAATTAATAGGCTCGACTACTGATATGGCATATGAATCGATTTGAACAACATGCGATTAAGCAAGTATTCAAAGAAGTATTTGAAATAGCGATGCAGTTTGAATGATGCGCCGAGTCTCGGTGCATGCAAGACAAATGAATGGATGCAAACTTGCAAGTATGAGGCATGCTAATTGAAAATGTCCATAATCTAACCATCAAAAGCGATTAAGTAAAAGGCAAAAAGACGTTGGATTGGAAGACATACACACATGCACACACACTTATTACAACATTGCGCCCTCACGAAGGAGGGTCCGAATAAATAAGCTAACTAGCTACACTAAGCTAAGCTAACTATTACAAAACTTGAAACTAATTAAGTAATCTAGTTAACTAATTATTACAAATTGAAATCGAATAACTAGTTAAACTAACTATTATTTACAACATTTGAATTAACTAGCTATTTTAAGCTAAGCTAATTAAAGCAAACAAATAATTCACTTTCTTAGCTAATTAAATAGTTACAACACTTGCATGAATTAGTTACAACTAATTAACTAAGCAAAAGGCCTCGGGAGACGAGGATTGCATGCATGCTCGGTTGGTTTCCACCCAAAAAGCCACCGCCTTGCCATTGAACGCCTTTGTTTACACATATTCGAACACCAACAGTGTTGCAAACTCCCAAAATGCCTCTACTCCCCTCCAGAACACACTGAGCAACTTTCTTCATTGATGGCCGTTGGCTACCAATGGTGGCCGGTCGGCTACTACTGGTAGCCGATCGGCTACCCCTTCCTTGAACTTCCACTACAACAAAAAAGGGCTTTGGTGACAGACTAATTTTGTCTCCAAACATCAAAATTTCGTCACTAATGTGATCTGTGACGAAAAAAATTTGTCACCACGTTCGTGGCCTATACGTCGTCACAAAAAGTACCTGGTGACGAAAAACAGTTTCGTCACCTATTTTTCATTTTTGGCGACGAAATGTTTCGTCTCCAAATGTTGAATTTTTCGTCCTCTAAAACACCAATTTCGTCACCAAAACTAAATAATATTTTATTTTAATTGTTTTTTACGACGAAATATTTCGTCACCAAATATATTTTAGTGACGAAAGTTTTCCTCACCAATGATATGGATTAAGGTGAGAAAAAAATTCGTCACTAAAATGAACAAAAAAGAAAATTATTCAATGACAAAAAATATTTTGTCACCAAATATTTCCATTTAGCGACGAAATATTCAGCAAATGTGACGAAATTATTTGTTTCGTACTATATCATTAGTGACAAAATTATTCGTCATGTTTTTTGAAAACTAATAGCGACATTTTTTATTTCGTCACTAATAAAAATTAAAAATTTTGAAAATGAGAGTACTATTTTCTTCCGAAATTTTTTCTTTTCAGTAACAATTCCCTACGCATTTCAATAACCTGTTCAATAAAATATCTATTACAAATCAATACAAAAATTTGTTCATTTTCATAAACATCACAATTGAATTTTAGCACTATCCACAAAAATACAATATGAACTGCATGCAGATTATAAACATGTCTCCTAATATCCACAAAAAACATCTATTAATATCTACAAAAATATAATATCAACCATATGCAGATTACCAAACACATCTCCTAATATCAAAAAAAAAAAACATGTCTACTAATATCAACAAAAATAAAATATCAAGGGCGGATTACCAAACATGCCCCGTAATACCAACAAAAATATAAAATTTACAACACAACCAAAATACATGAAAGATAATATGAGCAAAAACACAAAATGAGCTACCATCTTAAGTAAATAAAAAAAATGCATTTTTGAACTTAGTTTTCAAACGG